CAGCACTGCCTTATCGCTTTCCACCCTCGCAGAAAGGGAAGAGACCAATGTCGGGAGTTGTCGTAAAGCTGGTTTATCGACAATAGTGAGGAGGGATTTGTTATCGATGAGACGGCGTTCGACATCAGCGTGGGAGAGTGCGAGTAACCGCTGGTGGGATGATGATGCTGGGTCCTGGTTTACTGTCACCGAGGACTGAAAAGAGTGCACCGTTATAAAAAATCATATTAAAATGGATAGTTTTGATTTAATCTAATATATAAAATTCTCGTGTTCACACAATGCACAATGTTCGTTGTCATACTCCTCCGAAACGGCTAGACCGATTCTTATGATTTTTTTATACATACTCAGTAAGTCTGAGAATCGGCTACTATCTATCTTACAAACCCCTAATATATATTTATGTTAAGGGTGGTCCACCCCTAAATTTGTATTATTATTTTTTAGAAATTTTTATTTTTTTATGATACAGCATACAAAAATACATACAAACCCTTAATTTTCACCCCTCTACGATCAACCCCTATTTTTTATCATAGTAGATAGTTATTTGTATTGAACTAAACAAATGTTTCCTAGACACTCTATGTCGTCGTTTAAGTGACGGCATTGTAATGTATTGTGACCAGAGAAACTTTGACCTAAACACTATTTAGTTATATACTTCAGCACTATTAACACTTGAATGACTTCAAATTTACTTGTAACAGATTAGTCATCATGTAGACAACGGAAGATTTATCGTCATTAACGTTTAACTTAGAAGCTATGGAACATCTATAAATGAGCTTATATTTCAATAAAAACTTAACACAAATAATCATTACTTACCAGCTCCTCCAGCTTATGTAAAGCCTGCTTGTAGACCTCCACATGCCTCTGCAGCTCATTCTTCATAGCCACGTGCAAAGATATGAGGGTTCCCGAAGAATCGGCTGTGAGGCCATGTGTTCCCAGTCCTGAAACAAAATAATATTCGTATGTCTGTGACTTCATCAGGTTTCTTTTTAAACGTAAAATTTTTAAGGGGGAGGCATGTATAGGTCTTTCGAACCAACCTTTTTAATAATTTTTCTATAATTACCTTAATGGGCCAAACATCGTAGTTTAACGTAAAT